CCGCGCGGGGAGGCGGGCGGGGAGGAGGGGCTCCGCCCGCCGCGGGGGCGCTTAACCCCTTTGTGCCCCCCGCGCCGCCGGCTCCCGCAGCCCCCGGGGGCCGGGGGGGCCGTAGGCGCCTCGTGCTGCGGCGCCGGGCAGGCTCCGCGCTCGCCCGTCGCACCTTCGGCGGCAAGCGCCGTTGTTTCAATAGAGACAAAGGAGCCGGAGCTGCTCCGGATAGCCGGTATTCCGGGTCCCGGTGGGCGCCGGGCAGAGCTGYGAGATCGGCTCCTGTCTCCAGGAGAGGGTCAGGTCCTTTGGYACGTGTTAGAGCCGCTGTCCCATGGAAAATGCGGGAGGGTACACGGGGTGCAAGGCAGCCGGGGGTGCAGGGAGGGCACGGTGCTCACATGGGTCGTGCACCTTCACCCCCTCGCTGCTCCTCTCCACTGTGGCCTTGAGCGGGTCTTTTCATTGCATTCATTCATTCAAGGCACCCACCTTGTAAATGGGAAAAAAAAAAAGGTTCCTTCCTGGGGAGTTTTGGATGGGAATCAGTGGGAAACAGATTGATTTGGGCTGCACGCTATACAAATAATTATCCTCCATCATCTGGTTAATGCCGCGGGAGTTGCAGGAGCCTGTCCACCAAGGGGCCTGCTGCTGCCTCTCCCGGGGGAGCGTGGTGACACTGATCACAAATGGAGATCTGTTGCCATCCTTCCTACTGGAGTGGGCCCACAAGCAACTGCCTCTGTGCCTGCCACAGCCTTCCCCACACGAGGTGGGCAAAGCACCTTGCTCTGATCTGCAGCGTGTGGCAGCCGCCGCCTCGTCTGCTCTGCTTGCAGCATGAGGAGCTGCCACATTGCTACACACATTCAGCACCCCGCACCCGGGACAGATCCTGGTGGGCCTAGGAGTGCGAGCGATAAGAGCGGGACGCCTGGGAGACTTCCAAGTCTCTTCCCATGCAGGAATTCTCCCTTGCGGATTCGCGCAGTGATCACCCTACACCCTCAAGCAGGCGATCCGTGCAGTGTGAGAGCTGTAGGAGGGAGTCCAGCTGCAAGCACTGCAGCTCCGAGATGGAATCGCTTTGCATGAAACAGCTGCAGATGATGTTTCGGTGCATGCATAGAAGCCGGCTCTGGGATGAGAGGGTTTGTGGGAAGCACATGTCCRAAACAGTAAATAACGAGAATCAAGGCAGCAGTGAAGGTGGAGAAAACCTTTAGGCTTCAGAGCAAGCCCCTGGATGTCCTCGGCAGCTCTCCAGGGAGCTGGAAAAGGTGCAACAGCAGCCACAGGG